TGAGGCGCAGACATGTTGGACCACCTGGCCTCAGCCAATCCTGTGTCTCTCTGCGATCCAATAGCATGCGGGAAAGGAAGGCAGCCAACCAGAGAAGGACATGGATGAGATGCAGTATATAAAGAGCGGCGTGGCCAGCGTGGCGGACTCGGATGAAAGGCGTCGGACGCGTGGTTCTGGCTTCTGATTGGTCAATAAGGCGTGTTCTGTTGTACCGGCCTTTTTCCTATTGTGGCTCGGGTATTCTACAACACCATCATAATACATCAGCTTAGTAAACCTCAAGGTCGTTCATTCACATCACTCGTAATTATCACCAAAATGAATAAAAAAATTACATTTTTTTTAAATTTTAGCTATAGCTTGCAAAAGCAGAATAGACATTTTATGAACACAGATTTCAAATTGAATATAAATGCATCAAATAGGAAAGATCTGCAGTAAATCCCATAAAATTAAGCATTATGTGGAATACTACCATCAGTTACGAACAAAATTACATTATTTATTTGAACGAAAATTTAGTGCTTTGTCGTTTTTTTCATTTCGTTGATATATTCGTATTAATCGGGGTCGTCATTTGTTTTAAATCATGTCAGTCAACAATGCCGACTCTTGCTTTAACAGCCACTTCTATCTCACAAAAAATTTAGTCGGCACCTCGAGCCAATTATTAATGTTTAACTTCAGAGTTTGTAATCCAGGCTCTGTCTAATTCCTAAATATACCAGCTGATAAAATTTAGTTTCAGTAGCTATTCTTGCCGCATAAGTCAATGTCGCATTAATTGTGTAAGCTGTATTATTTAGGATAAATCATCCGCATTGCACTGACTTGAAGCATCGAACATATTTCTAAAATTTTTTGATTGAAAAAAAGGCATAGGCTTGGAAATGACTGATGTATTTTTTTGGCGACGTTTATCAAACATGACATGTTTAAACAGCATATAGATAAGACATGCTTGAAAAATAACTCATTGGTCAGCATTAAATCAGCACTGTCATTAGACATCAGGTCACGGTAAAGAAAACTAGAAGTGCATTTTTGGCTTCAGTAATTGTTGGTAGAACTAAAGGCAACATCTAAAGTATGGTTAGAATTGAGATATTTAATTTTTGGAAATGACACCTTCTGAATCGAAACTGCTGGATGGTTAGAGGCATTGGCTATATAAATAGGTTTTAATTACATTTGTAATATTAAGAATTTGCTTTCCTTTTTAATTATAACATTAAGATATTAAAATTTGTTTTCGACTTTGATAATGAAGTTACTTTCTTTCAGATGATTGGTTAAGTTGAAATGATGCTGCGGTTCACAAGAACCCGGCAGTTAATTTGAGTGATTTTCGACTTGTTTCATATTATTATTTTTTGTTAATGGTCGTCACGTGTTTAAGCTTTTTTTGAGTGGGACTAGTTTCCTTAGCGTTTTCTATGTGATTTGGAGCTACTTCGATCAGTACTGTTTTCTTAGATCACGACAGTTGGTTATATAGTTAGCAGTGCGGTGTGATCTTTTAACATGTCTGAGTTACTTTAGTGTTATTGAATTTCCTGTTTACTTCATCAAATAATTTTTTTCTTTTCCTAATACTTCTTATCTTTGGGTTGTGATGGTTTGCTTAGAAACAGATAACCTATTATCTACATGGCGTAATACCACCCCTGTTTTCTTTACGCGTCACTTCTCGCTATTCCAGAACCAATGCAAATTTAGGTCAGCGACTAGAAATGAACTTAACTTCCTAATATTTTGATATGAATCTTTATCCATTTCCTCCATAGGTGGAGAATGTACGTGTACTGTTTAGATCTAAAAGAATCCACATCCATTTAGCAATTTGTAGAAAACTGTAAATTATTTTGAGGAATTTGATAGTGGTCTTGTTATGTACATTCTTAGTTGAGTTTGTTTTATATTTGTAGTTAGACGAGCGAATTAGAGTCACCGTTGAAGCTTTCATATTTGTACAATTGGCTGTTTTGATACACCGTTGACGATTGTCGTTCTTAATCACGATACCTTTCTGTGGTTGCTATACGTTTAAATTTACTATTGTACCGTTCTCATTTCAGTTACCAGCTCTCTGCTGTACATGTGCTGCGGTCTAATGGGGTTATTGTCTCAAATATCTAGTATTTCTCAAATATACGTCTCCTATTTATCTTATTCGATAGCAGTTTAAATAATTCCAATTTTTATTAACGCTGTATGCCTTCTGCGTTTCTTTCTTTTCTATCTCATTTTTGAGTGAATTTTGTTTGCAAAATTTACACATGTTATGCTATTTGGAGATTTTACTAACTAGTTTTCTTTCCCATAACCAACCGGTTTAGTTAATTCTAATCTGCTAAAGCAATGAATTTTGGATATTTGTTATCTTTACTAAAGACATCGCTCCATAGTACTTTTCAAATAACCGCGCCTGTTATTATTTTCCAAGCATAAGCTGTTGATCGCACTTTAGCGATTTTCGGTGTTATTGACGACGCTCTGGCACTTTGGTCGTAACACGTTATTCAGCTGTTTTCACAAATGTACTCGGGCTTTAACCCAAAATATAAGCTGTCATTTATTTGCAATTTTTTAATGAAAATTTGTGTTTTACTTCCTATTCTTTGCTTTCGTGTTTATCTGGAATGTTAAATTATGACTACGTTTACGATATTTAACAGCAAACAATGAACAACTTTCGTCGTCTGCTCGGCTTTGCGAGAAGTAAGGTTGTACTTACCTGCTAACACGTGATAGGTCCCTTGTATCGACGGGTTCTGCCAGCTGCGATTGGTGGATTCGGTACTTATATGCTGCTCCAAGCCGACCCGAGCAACTTCCTTCGTGGTGGTGTCACTTTCTCCCGCAACTTCGCCTCCTTTCCCATTATGACCACGCAAGCGGAAGCCAAATTCAAGTGTCAAGACTTAGTATGATTGCCTCTAGCTTATTCTACTTCAACTAGGTTGTCTCTGAAGACAAGACCAACGGTCTCTTTCTCATCCTCCATATCCATCCCACTGCCTCACCTCATGAGTGTATCAAAGCGCTTCAGAAGTTGCAGGTTAGTTCACCTGTTTATGGAGAAACAATACAGTAGCGTCGTATGCCAAAAATACTACCTCAATAAATCGACTGTTTCGATAAGCTATGTATCTTTCCGTCAAACATATTTATCTTAACAAATTTCCTCGTTTTTGCTTCAAGGAACTTCAAATCACCCGCCTTTTGTTGTTTAAATGGCAACTTCCCAGTTGGTAAAGAGCCACCGTCCTTTGTGTCACCTTCCAGGCCCACATTGATCGCGTTTCTCCGGTCGATATCAGGGACGAGGACAGCGAGATCATTATGAGTATCGCATTTGGGGCCGACTTTCTCTCCAAGGTTTACCCTGATGCAGTCAGCAAGGGGGTTGAACCGTACCCGTTCAATGAGCGCAAGGGAAAGTCCTCCCTAATGCCTGCCACCGGTATGCCAATACGGTCGTTTATTTTTTACCAACCGATAAAGTGCTTCTTTGCACCGTGAATTGTGTTCACGTGCGCGGGAAGAAGGAGCCAATCCGTGTTATCGAAATAGTGCGCATTTATTGGTTTGATTTTTTTAAGTGGCAGTACACTTTAACACCTCTTTAATGTGTTCCTGCACGATTATCCGTCACTCGGATGATTGCACACCCAAGCGGTTTCGCGAACAGCTCTCAAAATCTTCATAATCTGCCCTTAGAAACCAGCCTTTCCGTGTTTCCCACCTGGCTTAGACATGTTAAAAACCTGCCGCAGTTTGCGGCTCTGAAAAACATCCACTAAGACACAAACGCACACAAAACTTGCCACCCACGGCCCAACATTTTCTCCTAGTCTGCATTCGCACTGCTGTTTAACCGCCTGTCGGAGTGTGATAAATTGTCTAATCTGCGTTTTCAGTAAATGGATTTGTGGTTTGCCATGCTTCCGCTTTTGTCCAACAAGCGGATTGGTTCAGTTGGATAGGCAGTGGTTGATTCTCTCCATAAATCTCGTCTTTGTGAAGGTACGAGGACAGAAGTGCTGTGAAATCTCACAGACGTTGCTTACCACACGCGCTGCGATTTGCGAATGGCCCCTTCGACCGCTTTTGACACGGCCACTGCTTCCAGTCGACTTAAACAAGCCTTCCGGAGAGGTCAAAAATAGCACAGAGGTCAGCTATCTTGGCAATGATAATCCTTTTTACGCACATCGTGATCCAGGTGTGATCGGACACGGATTACTATCAAAAAGTCGTGTTGGTGTCGTGAACGTATACTCAGGGTAGCTGGTAATACACAGTGTCTGGAAGAACTAGTCAAAACGCGAGTGTCCGAATGATCAGATAGGCAGACGCGATCCACTACAGGCTCAGCTGGCAGCACTGTCTTATACCTCATCGCAGTGGTCTCATGTTGACCTCAAGGCTACGCTTGTTGTCAATCTCTGTTTCTGTCGTGAGATGTGCAAAGCAGTCCGTGTGTTTACGAGGTTTTGCCTGTGCGTCGTAGGTGGCGACATTCTCATCCACGCCGCCTGTGGCGAGAAGGGCAAGCTCTTCGAGCTGGTCCAAGCTGTGCTCGGCGACATGCCTGAGAAGGCCGTCCAGCGCGTCGAGGAAGTCTACGGCTTCGTGTACCGCAACGGTCGCGATCTCAGCGGCTTCATTGATGGTAGGTCTTTGAGCTTTCTTGTCTCGTTACCAAGACTTCGTGGGTGTAACTATGGCTTCTGTATTCCCCATTGTTTAATAATGTTGTATTTACCCTCACTTGGAGGCTATTCAGCTTTACTGTAGACCGTTTCTCATCGTCGTTATTGATTTCTATCATCAGCGGCTTAGACTCTAGCCGACAGATGCACAAAGTAAGTAGAATACTAAAGGAGTTCACGAAATATTACGACACATAAACAGCGTAAACAATAATGGTCAAATGCAAGTAACACTCCAGATGCTAACACGGCTGTTTCCCAAGTTGCTATACAGCCCCCTTCTTGCCACTTGCCCAGGGGTGAAGCTTTGGAGACACCAGAAGTGGATATTTCCCCAAATTTCTGACCCATCAGACAACTTCCATCGGTTACTTTTCACAACCGATGGAATCGTTGATAAGTTCCGTACGCGGATCACCACTTTGCTGAACGCGTCATTGCATTGCCGTCGGTTAAACCTCACCACCACGATCTACCTCGGCCGTTTTTAAGATAAAACCAATTCCTTTGCCAGCGCCTCTACTGGATTCTGAGTCATCTTATGGTGCCTTAAGCTGCTTTGAGTAGATTTCGTTTCTTGTGAGTTAAATGGGCCTTCAAATAAGCTGCAAATTCATGAATTTGCGACTGTAAATCGGTCGACTGGAGTACCTCTGCCTACCGAAAACGATTTAGATGTCGTTGAAATCTTGGTTCTTGCTAAACTTTTGTGGTCTTAACTGACCCCTATAATACTTGACTTTAGAAGATGTTTCATGATGGTTGTTATATTAGGCCGGGTGCATGGAATTCGAGGTAACCAGACTGTCTAGGCATGTGATTCGGGGTTGTCATGGCAACGCGATTGAATAATTACAACTTACGTAACCAGTCATTACCTCATCGCAGTTAATGTGTACATCTGTTCACTCGTTAAGCTTCGTCTTTTCCGCCGAATATGTGCAGCTTCTGTTTTTTTTTCTCAAGTAATCTAGTAAAATTGATATGAACCTCGTGGCTGATTGTCCTGAAATTTATCTTATCCCATCACTGTTGCATTTCGTTGCCATAGGAACCGAGAATCCAGCCGACGAGGACGAGCGCATCGAGGTTGCCGTGAGCAGCAAGACCGGTGGTAGCTACGTCCTGACCCAACGCTGGATCCACGACCTGCGCAAGATCGCCACTGAATCGGGTGAGTTTGGTGTTTGTTTGGCTGCGACGCGCGCCACTCACGAACGCGCCTCTCTCTTCTCGCATTCACCGTTGTAGAAAAGGCAATGGAAGCTCACATTGGCCGCACACGACCAGACAGCATCGAAATCAAGCCCGTCCAGCCGACATCGCATGTTGGTCGGATGACTCATGGTAAGTCCAGTTTCGCTATTCGCCCCTCTTCCTCCCCCCTACCCCGGGGTTCAGGTGGTCCCCTTCCTCATGATTCGGTTTCCTTCGTGACGTGCTCTCAGCATGTTGACAATTTTGTAGGAGTGGTAGGGCAACGTGCAAATTCTTCTTTGTTGGTAGGGCATAAAGTCGCTTAAATCACACTGACATTCTCCTCTAACCAATCAATTCGTTCGCGTGGGTCATTGTGCCGTGCCAGCCAAGACTTTCACCTTGAAATGACCATGTGGTTGCCATAGCAACACTGCAGGTGTAGTTTGACCTATCAGGACATTGAATACCTTCGGTACAGTCCCAGTTATCGCTGTCAACAGTAATAGTCACCCGTATTGGTTTGCCTCGCCTCCATCATTAAAATAAGCCCTCATTTCATTGTGCGGGTGAGTTGTGATCACGTTGGCACAATGAGCGTTGCCAATGCCGCCAACGCGTCGTTGATGACGTCTGCACCCTGTCCAATCACACAGGTCTGTCGGAGGAGGCGGCTGAGGAGAGGCGCATTGTGCGTCACTCGATGCCGTACGGTGAAGCGTCGCGCGAATGCGGCCTCTTCTTCATCGCCTACGCGAAGAGCCCCGAGACGCTGGACTGGATGCTCGATCGGATGGCCGGCCTCACGCACGACTCCATCGAGGACGCCCTCTTCCACTTCACGCGCCCCGTCACCGGCGCCTACTTCTACTCGCCCAGCAAAGCCGAACTCGAGGAAATCTTTGCGAAAATGGGCCACAAACGCGGCGGCCTCTGGTGATGCGGCTCTGTGTGACCACCTCCCTCACTGTTGTTGTCATCGCCTAACTAGTGTGCTTAGTATAATTAAGAGAATTTTGCTCTCACCTTCGCAGGATCGTGTGGTTTGTCTTGATGTCTTCCAGACCTCCACCATTTCAACACGGTTCTCTTTAACAACTCAAGAATACTGACATTTGGTAACTCCTGTCTGTTCCCTGACGTGGTCCTAAATGGAATTATTGTGTTTTATTTTCCGACAGACGGTAGGTGATTAGACTTCGAGAAATTGGACTCCAACTGCGTTGAGTTAGATGGAATATGCATGAACTTGACGCTAGACGCTGGCCACTTGTCCATTTCTTGTGTTTGTGGAAGCAACCAGCGTATCGCGAGGTAGCTAGTTAAACCCTGCCTTCACTCTTCCTCGTTGTCATCAGTGATGACCACGATGGAATTAGAAGACTGGGAGCTGTGGAAAAACAAGCGCTTAATGAATAGCTCAGGCCTGCTATGGTGTTTTTTAATCGTCACTTGCTCAGACCTGTTCACTAAGGCAGAGTAAATAGAGTACAGCTGGGGCGTGGTCTGGTGTGTCAAAAATGTTTACCAGAAATTACTGTCGTCATGCAATTTGTGTGCTGGGAGGAGCACTTTGGTGTTAACTGCCACTCACTGCGAGGCATCGCTCTGTTTAGAGTCCATTAGCAAAAAATTTCGCACCGAATATGCCCACACGTTCCGCTTAAAAGCTTTTCTCGTACCTGACGAACTCTCGAGTGTAATTTCGGTTTCCGCGCGTTAGTTTCGCGTCAATTTAAACAAGGGGGGTGTCGCTCATTTTCATAATATTCCCATCTAGGCATGATAGCCGTTGAATCCCACGAAGCGATGGGTGAGGTTTGCCTTGTTGATTGATTAGCCGAATTGCCCTCTGAACATTTTCGCCCAAATCGTGCCAGTTTCTTGTCGACAGTTGGTGTTAGTAGTGTTAGCTTTCTACGTAACACAACGAATCGCAGCAGTACGATAATGAAGGCCCAATCGTGATTAAGTGATAGGAGCCGCATCGATTTTGTGGAATTGCAAAGGCGTTGTGTACTTTGAAGCGCCTCCAAGCAACCAATCGGAGATTGTTACTGTCATCACCGCCTCACGGTGGGTTGTTGACGATCGTGCGTGAGTGAAGCTAGCCTATCGGGTTCTTGATTTCGATGACTCATCCCTATTTTTCATTGGCTACTGTCATCAGTCGCCGATTAAGCACGCATACACTAAGCCGCACACCAAGGCACACTTGGCTGGCTTAACGCCAATAACCGACCGTGTCTGTTGTTGCCTGTTCTCGGGGTTTAAGGATTGATGACTAGCAAGATTGTAGGATATTGGAAGCTAACCAATGCAGCCCAATGAATCGAGGTTTGGAAACAGTCAGAAAATGGAGATAAGTTGGTAAACCGATGAGGGATATTGCTCCACTAAGGCGGAACATGGACAAACGTGTCGTCGCCAAGTCGTGACAAAACTATTTCCGCCTTCATTGGGAAGTGGCACTGAATCATCCAAATTTCACTGACCTTCCACCATCCATTTACGCATTACTTGGCACGAAACCGCCCTCCGTAATTGGGAGTGGGCGTACGTGTCTTCGTGTGCTCAGACACACACACTGACACACGTCTGATCAGACACCTGGCCAATCAGCTAGTAGTATCCTTATCAGTCCACTCGTACTGTATTAGTTCAACAGCCTCAACTCCTGTTCTGCCTCGCCATAACAGAAAACATTTGCACTGGAATGAAGAGCATTTGATTGTCATGCCGTCAGAATCACATCTACCTCAACCGATTCACCTGACGATGTTTTGCCGAGGTCACCTGATCTGGTGGTTTACACTGTGGCAGCCAATCACGTGGTAGTTCAAGGTGTCCTTAAGTTACCGTGGTTAAGACTTTATTTCAGGCCTGCAGATGAGAGGGTTAAAGCTTCAGCAAGCCGAATAATCATGTGATTTATATCAACTCTACATAGCAGAAGTAATGTGACAAAATCAGACTGTTGAGTTCCCATGTCTTCCAGTCGTTGCCCATGTTTTTCTTGACATATTTTGCAACCTTAATTGGGTAACCCATCTACCACTGAGGCCACCTCGACACTCCTACATAAGTTCGACGCCAAATGCACTTTCCACGCTGCTGGAATAAATACCACGTGATGAAAATGTGGTCGTTCGCTTACACGTCTGCCCAGTTTGATGTGTGTGTAGGGACGCTGGAAGCCGATTGGCTGATTCGAGGTCATTCGGCACGTGACTCTGGGTGCAGTCGAGACAGTTATCAACAAAGTGGTTTTCTCGTGATTAATGAAACATGCACATTTTCAACTACCAAAATTAATGTTAATGAGACTGAACACTACTGGAGGACGAACAGTTAGCGCTGAGCGTAGCCAGATTAGCCAATGAGCAGACGGTGTAGCAATGTGAAGAAAAGAGCGATTGTTTATTGGTTCCGGAGGTGAAATTGAATTGTGCTGCTTTCCAAAACCATCAACTTTAATTAGTGGATTGAAAATGTTCGGGAACGATTTAAAACCAAAATAAATACTGCTCGATTTCAAGAAAACTATTGTCTGTCTTTCACCATCTTCGGTAACTGCCTTACTGAGTTTTACAAGTATCCGAATTCAGTGTTTACGAAAACTGCGTGGTTTCTAAGATAAAGATGTCGCTCCGAATCGAAGTCTTGTGATGGACTATCAACAAGTACGCACGATTATTGATTACACTGACTCATTCCCATTTCTGTATTGGTTACCACCATCGGTTGCTTGATAAGCACGTGCGCGCATCCACACAAAACGACACATGACTGGCTTGACTCGAATAGACGGCCGTATCAACTGTCGCCTGTCTAGTCTCGCTTCTCGTGTTGGGAGGTAGTGCTACATCACTACAGTCCCTTAGAATCGATCGTGAGTCCTAACTGTCGTCGAGTTGTCAATAGTTAGACTGCCAGCTACCACTTCCTTGGTAGTCCGTGGTTTACAGTTTTGTGAATCGTGTTTATTCACACCCCTTAATCCAGTGACTCCGCCCTCCGACGCAGGGTTCCCCTTTTCGCAGCATTTCGCCAGCCACGCGGATCCTCAACTCCCCCCTCATTCCCACGAGTAGTTGTCTTGGTTCATCCTCACACCTAGGTCTCGATGTTGGTGCATCTATGACTCTCGCATCCGAGGTATAAATGCACACACGCAAACCCCAGACACGACACAGCGACACCAACGCGGTTGAGCTCTGAAGTAAACGCTTGTGTCCACGTCCTCTCAGGTCTTTTTTCGTAATCGCGGGTATCAGGGAAGCGCAATCAGGCCAGGGTTAATGCAGTGGCCCCGGCGTGGTTCAAGTCCACATGCTGATACCCAAAGGAACACATCATTAAATCATAGCGGAATATCATTTTGGGAAAAATTTGTCACCTAGATAGAAGTCAGCATTTTGAAATGGACCAATCCCCGTGTAGTAATCCCAGGAGCCGGCACGTGATTCAAACATGCCACTTTCCATTTTAAACATTAATCACAAATGCGAATTAATTTAAACAAATTTACTCATGGTTGTGCTGACTTCTAGCGTATTTAGACAATGAGTCAGTATACAAGTCATTTGGTAGAGCATTTTTCCCGTGTTATTTTAATAAAATCACAAAAGAATTTTTCGCCAAGTGCAGCGCCACCAGCAAACCAGAAATAAACACTAAAAGGTGTTCTATGCAGACGGAAGTAGCGAAGGGTGTGAAACCCTTCAGACGAGGTGTGACCGCTTTGAGAGTGACTGCCTTCGCGTCGTTCATGTGACGCCGTTTGTTTGGCAGCGTGTAGCTAGTTGAGCAAATTTTGCACTTTTCGCCACCAATCAGGTCTAACCGCTGAAATTGCTGAGATCACGATAATTGTCATGCCGCGATTCGCCTGAAGCTTACTCTAGTCGAAACAAATTACCACAGCTCCAGCAATTCGCAAATCAATTGTCCCCCAGACGCGCCCAATCGGAATCATCATCTACACAAGTGCTTCACATTGATTGGGCCAGAAATTTTGCTTACACAAATTCGCGACCAATGAAAAGTGTTCGTGAGTCGTGATGGATCGAATGTTACTGCGAAGGGATGGTGACGAGAAAATCTCCTTCCTTACCTCTATTCCAATCGATATTTTAGAGCCGCCTTGTTTCCTTTGGGGTAGAGAGTTGCATCGGAGACAGCCTTGGTGCTAATTTGATTATGCAGAGAGAGGCTACGAACCCACATGGCGTATGCTGCCTACGCAAAACTACCACCGCATTCACCTCGGCGGCATCGTAATTGCCAGTCACGACGCTTTACGATGGGCAGACACTTCCAACTCCCCAAACAATCAACAGGCAGACGCGCGCTTAATTGCCAACGCAAGTGACTTAAAGCCGCTGTCATTTGGGATTATTTTCGGCGTCTTGTGTACTCCGGGTGCAACACTGACTATGGACGTTGTCGTGTTATATTTATGAAACCCTTTGCTTTGCTGCCGTGGTGGCTTCACTGGAGCGCTATATTAACCTGCTAACAGCTGGCTACTAGGTGTCCCAATCTAGTTGTGTTGATGTTGTCGTGCGTCCGTGTGTGTGTGCGATTAGCGTGGTCAATGTGGCAGTGGAGGTACATGCACAGGGTTGAATTAGCAGACGGTCACGCTGTGAACAGAGGGGGGGACGTGTGCGTGTGTCGGGGTGTGCGGCGACAGAGAGGACGGACGTGAATCAACACGATTCACAACAACACGCTGAGGGTCACATGAGTGCCGGCGTATCAGATACGTCAATTCATGAGATTTGATTCACGTGGAATCCCGTGAGCCGGTGTCTGCTTCTCTGGTCCGAACCCATGTCGCCTGGCAAGCTTCTGCAAACCTCGCTACATATCTCCACTCGCCTAGAACACTTGTGCTTCATGTTGAATTCCCCGAGCTACCACACACGCAATTCTAGTCATTTTCTTCTTTGACCGTCTACTAAGCCCATTTCAGTAGCAGCTGACAGTAGAAAACGGGAATGGATTACTTCGAGCATTGGCGAGAGCTCAACATGCACATTGGTTTCTTTGTTAATCCTGCCAAGTTGATGTGGGTTGTGCTCGTGTTTGATTGGTCGGATTGACGGCGAGCGATGATTGGCTGGGTTGAGTGGCCAAGCCAACATGTGAGTCAGTCTATTAAGACGCCGCCACAATTTGTACTTTTTGGAGTACCAAAGTGCTGTTTTGGTCTAGTGCTCTTCTCCACCTCTACCGCCCTGGCAACTCACTGGTGGCAGCCCAAAATCACAAAAAGAAGCAATCAGTAAGGATGACCGATAATACATCTTGGTCTGATTACACGTACCTGTACACAAATGCGAGGCAAAGATGAAGAGAAGACGAGAATAGGCAAAATAAACACGGAACGTGTTCATGCAGTTGTTTGGAGGTGAGGGGGTGTTGAGGGACCTAGGATAGGGAGGAGGATGGGGTCTGGGTTTGGACCTGGGAGGCGGAAACCGGCTCGTAGAGGTTGACGTATTCCAGAGCCGCGGCATAGCAGAAGGCGTATTCAGTCGGTACCTCGACTAGACCTCGTCGCTGCCACCACAACAGCTTCGTGGTCTGGAAGGCGTCAACCACGCCCTCACAACGCATTCTGTCGAAGAGTATGGAGAGCGCGAGGAAGATGCCCGTGTAGCCCGTTCCAGATCTGTGAATGTTGAGGAAACATCAGAATCATAATCACAAACAGGAGGTGTGTGCCAGAATTATGATTGGCTGGAAAAGACCACCAAGCGATCAATGCTGAGGAGTGAAACAGCCAATCAAATCAACGTGCTTTACCTGCAGTGAACAGTGATTGGTCCATCCAGTCCGAATTTTTCCTGGGTTTTGTGAACCTGCTCAATCAGGTCTATCAAAGCGAGTGCGGCCTTCTGGCAGGAGAGATCGTCAAAAACACCTCGCTTGTAATTATCGGCAGACAATGACCGGTAATACGAAGCAGGGCCGCCATTCATGAATCCAAAGGTTGGCGTATTATTTGCCGACGCACGACTAGGAAGCCATTCAGCCAATGGTGGCAGGGAGGGTGGCAGAGGCACGTCGGGAGCCGCGGATTCATTCGCGCCTGATTGGTTGATATGCCGGGCCGACGCAAGCACGCGTCCAATGAGGAAGGAGAGCTGGGAAGCGTCAAAAACGCGAATGATTCGTGATTGGCCGCTCTTGGCGTCAGTGAGGCGGAATTCCCGAAGCACGTAGGCGGTCATGTCGTAGGCGGCCACCGGTTCTAACACCAGGAAGCCAAATCGAGCCGCCTCATTCATTGGCCAATACGACGGCTGAATTTATATTTAAATAAACACGAATGATATTTTATCTGTCAAACCGAAATGCAGTTTCTTTGTGTCAGTACCAGGCACTGCGGAGGCGCATACCTCATTGTCGACTTCACTGGTGTCGAGTTGCACGATGATGCACGAGACGGTCTCCCAGACCATCCGCCAGAAGTCCTCCACGTAGGCTGGCAACGGTGTCTGCGTGGCGATGAAGGCGGCTCTCGAGCGGTAACTGTCAATGTAGGAGGCATTGATGTAATCCGACCCGTCAACTCCGCGAATCGCCGACAGCTTCACGCGATTGCTGTCATACGGTATGAGGTCCTCTCCACGACGATTCTTTGGAACATTCACCTAGAGAAATGGTTTGACATCTCTGATCCTGTGCTCAACTCAATCGTTTATCGATTCTTAGTTCTCATAGCACCGACCAATCAGACAACCCCTCAGATACCGACAGCCAATCGTCACGATCAAATGACAATTTCACCTGATTGGATCTCGATTGGATTAGGGAATACCAGGAAGCCGATCGAAACTGAATAACGATATCGAAGCTCAACTGGCTTAGCCATTCCTAGATCACAGTTGAAGAGCCTACGTGAGACGTGTTCAGGCTGGTTTACAGCTGCTTGGCAACTCGTGACGCACCCGCATTATGCGATATCGCGCAACTCACTGGAAGCGCACCACTGGGTGTGTCACCGGTCACCAATCCAGAGTCCACAAGGTCATCGCAACAAGCCAATAGCCCTCCTGGAGCCTTGTGCGCAACTGCAGCAGCCACCGCGCCCACAGTCTGGGTGACCAGCTGGCTGAACTCGAGAGCCAATCCCGTGTTAGCTAGAGGGTCATTGGTCGGCTCCACTGCGAATCGGTTCGCCGCGCTCGAACAGGGCGCCGTGAGCTTGTGCCAGTGCATGCGCAGCTGCCGAGCTGGCAGTTCGGTGTTGCCGCTCAAGGAGGCCTCCAGAAGGGTTTCGTAGATGAAGGCGTACTGGTCCTCGGTTTGGACGATGAAGTTCCGTTGACTCCGCAACTGGGCAACCACTGCGAAGACGTTGACGGAGTTCTCCTGGTTGAGTTGCTGCAGCAAGATGTCAAGCACGATGTAGGCCCCTGCAAACACGACGAAAGTGATTGGTAATTTAACAGCGGCACTTTGTTCTCAACGTGACCTCCACTTCAACCAATCAACGCTCAGAACGGTATTGTGGTTTACATGAAGCTAATTATCATGGAACCAGCGTGAACGCACCTGTGCGTCCGACACCCGCGGAGCAGTGAACAACTATTGGTCCAACGTCGGGCACGAATTCCGCATTGACTCGTCGCAGGAACATCAGAAATGGCGCAGGATGATTTGGCACACCGTGGTCCGGCCACGCAGTGAACTGCAGCTGTCGAATCTCGCGTTTCTCGCGATGCCTAAAATTGATTGGTGCGTTCATAATCTCAACTCATCTAGAGGTTTCGAACCATGAACACCACCACCACCTCGTCCAACTCACCCACTCTTCTGTACCGTGAATGTTCGCACAGTGTAGTAGGCCAATTCGACGACTTCCATCAAACTGACAGTTATCTGGCCGTAGGTCGTCGTGGCAATTGGCGACGTTCCGCTAATGGTCTGCGAGCTGTCTGACGCGGCAATCATAGTTGACCTTGGCGAGAGCCAATCAACGCCCTTTGTTGGACTCAGGCGTGAGCCTGCTGGCAGCCCACTCGTGGGCCAGTACTGCTCGCATTTGATTCGTTCACGCTCCTCCAACCGCGTCATTGCCACTATGGTGCTGGTGCGTTGTTCCCAAACCATGCGCCAAAAGTCGCAGACGGTGTTAGGCAGCGGCCCCTAATGCAAACACTACTTACTTATTATAAGTACACAGTTAATTATGGCATTCGACGAAATGTGGCAATCACGCACCGAAGGCATTTTCACGTTTCATCACACAAAATTTTCCCAAAAAACGAATGAAAGTTACATGTTAAATGACATTTACAGAAGGAATCGAGTCCTGCCCCCACCCGAAAGTCGTATCGAACGGAGTCAGAGTTACCTGAGTGGCAATGTAGGCGTTCTTGCGGTTGTAGCCGTCCAGGTAATTGGCGTTGATGTAGTCGCTGTCGAAGTCGCCGTCGACTTTCGACAACACCACCCTGGAGTGATCGTAGGTGACCACGTTGGCGTAGCGGTTCTTCGGTCGATTTGCCGGCCGACTGGAGTGCTCCCAGGTGAACTGGCCCCCCGGGTCGATCGACTCAAACTCCGCCGACATCAGCAGACCCTGGTTCTGCTTCAGCTGGCTCACGTGCGCTGGAAGACCTTCAACTGGAATGGCGTGTGACGCGATGTCGTCTGGAAGTCAAAAAACAAAACTCCATGAACGTCGATGCTAGGAATTCCAGTAATTTGGGCTGCCACCTCTTCTCAGCATCCCTATCGGCCAATTTCCATTGGTCGGTGGCTTCTACAGCTCGATTTTCTCACCCACGACCTTATATAAACAAATTAGGTTTTACTGGTACTTTGTACGGTGGTTGGAGCCCGTTTAAAACGGCAATTATGGAGTCAGGAGAGAAGAGGCCCACATCAAACTCACGATTGGCCTCCAAGATTCCGGGAATAAGAGGCGGCGGGTGGTTCATGAAGTAGGGCGGAGGCGGCTGGCGAGAAATCGGCGGCGAGAGCATCTCCTGCGACGCCGTGGCAGAGCACGCGCAGTTCGGCGTCTCGCCGATCGACGTCATCGGCGTGCGCATCATCGTGAAGGAGTTGAAGCGTCCGCTGGAGGCGTCCACGTAGTCGCGGCGGTCCAGCGACGCTGTCGCCGTCACCGTCGGCTGCGCGAACTTGTAGCTGTTGAAACCCGCCGACTGCAACGACAACGCGTCCGTGTGGCAGCGCTTCTGCGCCATCGGCGTGTCGAGGATGGTGTAGCCGTTGATGAGGTTCGACGCCGACTGGGCTATGGATCTGGGTGGCTTGATCGGCTCGAGCATTCGGTCGGCCTTGCCAACGCCCCGCTGACGACGCTGGTAGTGACGCAGAATGAGGATGAGAATGAAGGCCATTATGGTCACACCCACGATGATGGAGAGAGCTGCCACGATTATCTGAATGCGATCGCTGTAAGGCGATATCGTGGAAGCTGGAATCTGTGGATGCATTGCATCACTGCCCAACGGTAGAACGACATCCGTCGGGATGATTTCCTGGTCAGATGTTCGTGAAACTGCGAAAAAAAATGGGCAGATTATTGCGTTAACTAGAGCCTAAATGTGGGTTTATCTTCTGAAATCGATAATTTTAGGCGGAATTGACCATTTAGAGTAGATTTCTGCCAGTTTTTTTAGCATTCCGTAAATTTGACTATCCCACTGTGGTTAATTGAACACACAGTTGCTGTTCTCCCCAGTGTTTCTGCCTGTTTTTCCTTATTTCGAGTCAGAGATTTATCTCACGGGCCGTTCATGAACTGGTTTAATATTTGATTATTGAACCTGATTCAAAGTCTAATTAAGCAACCGACCAACGCGCTTCGTCGTTGGATCAAATTTTGCCGTGCTCTTAATTCTACAAATGTAAGTTCATTGCATCTCGTAGTTGAGGGCAACACCTTTTAATGCAACCAACAAGTCATTTCATGCACACTATTTCAATTCGACCGCGTACACTTCCTAGCCAAATCTCATTGGTCCAATCTAAATTTGAATGCGTTTTCCCTAATGCTATTGGCTGTCAGGGGTCCTACTTACCGCTTGCGGCGTCGTTGAAGGGCGTGTGCGTCGAGGAAGCTGCCGTAATGTTCTCGAGAACGATTGGCGGCCACAGCGGATCGTCTTCCTCAAGGTGAATTCTTTCAACTCGAGCTGATTGGTCGGGCCGCGGCGACACCGGTCCGATCACTCCAGGTCCTGCAGTCCAATCACTCATGCTACAGACGACAGTCGTTCTGGAACCCTGTTCGTGTGTGTCTGCGATTCCATCAATCACTTCGTGGCTCTAAGTTATTCAATATAATACATGCAGTCAAATCGATTGATCGCTTATGCTTGGAATAAACGGTGTACTTAAATGATATCAGTAGCAATATCACCTACCTCTATACAGGCTCTTAAGGCGAAGTCATAGGCCTGGCCGGGCATTAGCGAAGGTGCGGAGAACATCCCAGGCTCCGGCCTAGAGCCAACGCCTCCAAGACCAGGCCCCGATGAAGACCCGTTAAGCACAACGCGGACCATTTTAGTCAGCGGTGGAAACAGTGTGACCGCGGGGAACTGAGCCAGTACCGCAGGAGATCGATCGCCGTCCACTGAGTTACTCTCTCGAACTAGGATCTCGTAAGTGGAAACCGTTCCGTTTTGTTCGTCTGCGCGGTAAATAACCACAAGACCAGCGTCGTTTTCATGAACTGCTGGCATTCGGTGGAATTCGGGCGTTGGAACAAATTGTGGTGCTGTAATAAATTAATTTATCTCGGTAACTCAATTAAACAATCAGAATGAAAGTACAGGAGGCGGGACCTACGCTTAGAGTGAGTTCGGCAGAAGACAGATCTTGATTCGCCAAGCGATCCGGTTTTAATTGAGCGTTCGAAGACCGGAGTCACGTCGATCTGGTAGGCCATGTTGAATTTAAGTCCGCGGAGACGATGGGCGACGCCATGATGTGGAAGCCTAGCCGTCACCCTGAGTGACTGCTCACGCTCACCTTGTGACTCCCTCATTCGGTGACCATCTGAGTTGAGGTAGACACGTCCTCCAGTGTAGTTAACCTTAAAAATAATGACTACTTTTACCGATTTCAGTAGACATGTTGTAAGTTCTTTGACAGAAGCGCGCGTACCACGTAGTGGAGGAGTCGAGATGCTGCGGGCAATTCAACTGGACTCCACGCGAGTTCGAGCTCTGCGTGGTTGCCTGCCTGGGCCACTGCTTGGCATTTGAGGTCCTCGACGGCTTCCAGTGTTGAAGGAGCGGATTTTCTTACAGGTACCGGGGGAGACCAATCACTGTGCAAGTTGGCTATTCCGACGGAGCGAACTCGGACTACGTGTTGTTCCGGTTTCTCAGTTATTGGCTGGGTTAAAAAAAAATTAAACACCCACGTGAGGAAACAAATTTAGCATATCTGGCTTTTACCCCTTTCGGAGACAAAATATTCAGTTTTCACCGAAAAATAAAGCATCAACGGAGCGTATTTCGACATAATTACAGGTTTTTTATTGAGAAACAGGACCGGGAGGCAAAAATTGGTGGACTGCGATTCAAACACACTTCGGTTATGAATTGACAACGCCAGAATTACGCCATTGGCTATAATCGACCAATAGAAATCGACTGAGAAGTGCGAAGCATTTGCATTGGTCAACGGGTTAAGACAGAAATTTTATATTCTTGCGACATCGAGCGTACAAGAGTATTCTAGACTGCATTCCTCCCGACGTGCCTTTGGAGGTTTAAATTGTCTTGATTTCTTGATGCTACTTACACATTTATGGTAGCATATGCTGCATCATAAATTTTGCACAAATTGCTATCATGCGGGGCTTCTGGGCCTGATAGCAACTCACAAAATGGTGGCATCACCCTTACTCTACAGCTGGCGTTGTTTTAATGTACAACTTGATGAATTTGCGGTCGATTTCTAAAAAAAATGTTGATTTACACATCTGTTTTTTACTGTTTGATGTCCAATTGTATCCAAGATAAGTTTGAACTGAATTTATCGTAAATTCGTCTGCATTGTCTATAAATTTGTACTTCCTAAAATGCCCGCAATTTTACCATCCATCTATTGACTCAATAAGTGTTTGTTTAAATGCAAAGCCTACAAGGGGGAGGTGACCTTGAAGATTGGAACATAAAAGCCACTCATTGGTAAACACATTTTTTCAAAGTCATTCAATATTCTCCCAGTACAGCCCACCTCTTAAATGTAAAATTTTTATAGCCGATTGCTCAATCGCCTTATTTTGATGCCTGACATGTTAAATGGAAGTTTTTGCCATTTAATAACGTAATAAAACCGTTGCCTAACATCAAGACAGTAGCATTGTCCTCATGATTGGCACCTTCCTTGTCATTTCATTGGTGACATCAATGTTGGTCATTAGCATCAACGCCCCAATTTGGCTAAACACATCCAACCATTGGCTTCAGGTCGTGAAGCTATTCTTACCTAGTCTGCGCGATGACTAATGAGGCAGCCAATCAATGCGTCATACGTGAAACTGTCCATTTGATTGGTCAGATTGCGCGCACCAATCAGCTCTCGACTTGCCATGCAATAACTGATCACAAATCGACATGACGTGCTAGCGATTACTCTTTACAAAGTGCTTCAAGGTCAATTCTTTAGCCCTCAAACAGTTGGCGATGGTTCAGCACCCCCAGACGTCATCTGTGTCCACGAAAATCGTTTTCTCCAACACCAAATCTTCACTCGTGTCTAGGTTTCATTGGACTGTGTGCGCATGTGTTGTGAAAATTAATTGGATATATGCTGGTTGGGTGGAAATGCGTCCCTGGAGATATAATCGTCGTCTGACAATCTCCCTTAGAAAAGACTTAACTGACGTCTCCGATGCATATCTGAAATCTTAGTTGCAGATATCCTGGCGCCAAAAATATGGAATTGAGAAACAGTGTCAATTCTACTTCCATCGTTCAATGTGAGTTTGCAACACAGTTAGGATAAGATAGATACAGGCGTTTCGATTAGGTGTAATTTTTTAGGCATTTTCAATCTACAAGCATATTTCTCTCGCCAGAACCTAAAGGAGTAACGCTTTGTTCTGAACGGATAAGTTGCTTAATTGCGATTGGCGATTCACACGTAACCGTTGCTATGATCGGTGCTGGCCGACAAAACAAGAAGTGTTCGAGTGAGCAGCCAATGAGAGCTCAGATGATGTGTGGGCCACTGTGATTGGCTTCGAAATTCTGTACCTCTTGTCTCTCATTGCACACTTGTTACACGACACTACCGACATCAATTCCATCATAGTCAACATCGAGCACTCACCAGCGCCACGACTGTAACCGGTCCCGCCGTCTTGATCGTCTGCCACTGAGTTGGTCCTGTGGCGTCCGCCCGATTAGCGTACTCAACCACAAACCGTCGATAAATCGGTGGTTGGGAGTCCAGATTCGTCCGATGCGCCTCACGATTGAACGAGGTTTGGACGAGGTGTTCTGGCATAGCCCAGGTCACGTAGACCCCTCTTCTCTCGTCAAAGACTGCGTCCACAGATGTCGGCACCTTTGGAACTGTTGGAAGCAACCAAAAGGCATGCAACTGTTTCTTTCGCTACGCCAGAGCGATGTACAAAGCCACGGCTGATTCTTCGCTGTTTAAAGTTACCGTCGAAACGTGTTTGATCGAGCCGGTAGGCAACTGATACCATACATATTACATAGAATAGCGCTTTCTTTGCCGACTCGATTGTTACTTCACCGGTCACGCAACAGAGTTTGGTAAAAAAAAACGCGCTTTTGTTCTCTTTTCAAAATTTTCGAACACGAAAACACATTGCTATCTACGTTCTCGTTTTGCAGGTTGACTTCTTTGCCTCTATTAAAGAGTTCCGTCCACGTAACCCTGGACATCGATTCGTCTAGCTGAGGAATGATCTAGGATAACTCATTAACCCCCTAGAGTTGGCATCGGGCCCTGAGAGTGGCGAGCCAAATTGACTGGAAAGAGAAAACGCTAAAATTTGGCTGCCAAATGAACTTGCTTTTCAGTGAGTGTTACCATCAGCTAGAAAACTAGTAGATCATCCAGCATCATTCTGGAGAAGCCGAGGTTGAGTGAAACGAAATCTGGTTGTGAAGTGATCGTCTCAACAATTCTGATTGGTCGGTCTTGGAAAATCGATTTTCGAAATTGCACCTGATGTTACCATTTCGACAATAGTTATAATGCAAGCACTTCAGCAAAATGATTGTTTTTTAAAGGTAGGCCGCACCACCCCTTAGAGGAATTTAAACAACATTCACAAATTCCCGGGTTACTCAAAATTTAATTTACCTCATCGTGCGTTTATTAAACTTTTGTTTGGGAAATTCACCAATAAAACAACTGTGCTTGAATGTATTAATAATCAATAATGTGGTTGCAACCCACCCATATTCTTGAGGCTCAGCGTCACAAACTCCGACCAAGGTCCAGGGCCGGCAGAAGTCGTCGCCCGCACGCGTCCGCGGTAGACGGTTCCGAAGGAGGCGGCGATCGGCGTCGAGATGTTCAACAGGGAGACCCGACCAGGCGGCCAAAAGAGCGTGGAACTGCTGCTACCCCCAGACTCGGCCAGTTTCACGCGTTTCGTGTGCCAGGCCTCGGCGATGCCTGCGGTGACGTCGACCCAGGCGCATTCCACGTCGTAGGCCACGAGGCGTCCGTTTCTCGCCTCCAGTGGTGGAGCCTTCCATTGAAGCAGCAGTTGTGGAGACGTGGCGTCGATGCGCACTCCTGATGGAGGCAGCGTGGGCGCTAAATGAAAGTATGAGACTGTTGTCAATTGTGTTTATTCACATTCCTTAATCCGGTCGCTCCACCTCCGACACGGGGTTCCCCATTTCGCAGCAAGTCGCCAGCCGCGCGCATCCTTAACTCCCCCTTCATTCACTCGAATATTTATCTTGGATTATCCTCACGCCTAGGTGTCGATGTTAGCGCATGTATGACTCACACATCCGAGGTATACATACACACGCGCAAACCCCACACACGACACAACGACACCAACGTGGTTGAGCTCTGAAGTAAACGGTTGTGTCCACGTCCTCTCCGGTCTTTTTCTTCATCACGGGCATCAGGGTAGAGTAATCGGGCCAGGGTTAATTCCGTGGCCCCGGCGTGGTTCAAGACCACATGCCAGAACCCACAATAAGACCAATCCTGGAACTGAATCCAGCCTTGGAGTAGACAAGAAGCATTAAAGGCCCTCATCCACGGATTCGACAGACCCAAATAGTGAAGCGTGTGTAGTGAATCGTGTTGATTCACGTCCAGTAACCCTGTCCTCGCAGCTTGCAGCACACGTCCCCCCTTTTCACGTGGGACCGCTGGTTCATTAATCCCTCTGAATGTACCACCACCACCACCTCCCGCTTTGGCCATGTGACCTTACAAACACCTGTGTTTGTTTTTGTACATGTCCACTCAACTCTAAAAGTACACAGCACAACTTTGTTGAACTACCTATTAAATGGTCGTGCCTACCATCTCTGGACTAACTTTCTTCCCGAGTTACTCTCGTGGTAAAAGGTCCTCAACACGTGTTAAATTCACGTCCAATACGCGGTTGCCGTACTCGTCAGCCATGCGGGACAATCTGCTCATTCACCCGACCAGTTAGACGTCTGCAGTTTTACTAATTTAACCCCGACTGCATCACTCATTCACGACAACTCGGTTGAGCTATCAAGTAAACCGTTGTGCCTCGCCATCCCCGCTACCCCAAATGGAATGATTTGAATCGCTCCTGGTTTAACACCAAATGTGTCGCGCTTTTGACAAGTCCTTTAACCGGCAGAATGCAGCCTACCACAACTGCATCTACAAACCAGCAGCGGAAATCGGACTAATTACCTTCGTCAGGAAGTTCTATCCGTCCAGAAGCCTCTTCGCCCGTCTGAAAGTTGTCCATTGTTGCCACTCTCACCTCGTACGACAGGCCACCGACTGCAAGGGAATAAGCAAGGCGTTTTCAAGGTCAACAAAAAACCGGGCTGGTTGGTTGCTTTAGTAAAATCTGACACCCAGCGGCTGTTTCTTAAGTCTTAACCGCTGATACACTTTTTAAAAAGTGCGCTTTGGCTAAGCAAAAACACGACATATTCTCTGTCGGGGTCTTTTTTTCCCTCCTTGTCGATAACACACACCGCTCCAGCCAGTCAGCCGACTCGGCTAAACAGCTGCGCAAAACAGATTCAGATCTCTTTTCGCGCGTTCAACAAGGCAGACGGGAAGCCAGCAATGCTGGAGCTTACGAAGCTTCGCCGGAGGTGACTCCCACGTCGGTTGGGTGACATTTTCCTCGCCGAAGACGAACTCCTCCGACACGCCAAGCTCTCTGGCCACTTGCCCTGGAAGGGGTTCAACGCCTTCTGGCTGATAGAGTCCATGGGCACCGTCTGATAGCCTTGGAGGTAGCAGAAGGGTCCACCTGACGCGGTACCTGAAGGTGCCGATGGAGGCGTTGTCTTCCTCATCCACTGGAGCTCGCCATTGTGCTTGAAGAATGCGACGTCGGGACAAGGTAGAGGCAACCGTGCGCAATTCCAGACTTCTCGGCTGACCTGGAGCTAGAAAAGCATTTTGCGTCATAGAATAGCGCCATATTACTAGTAATCAAAAGGCGTTTTACACCCCTGGGCTACTGGTACATTTACTAGTTCACTCGCGTTCTATTGGTTGGCATTCTTGGCGCTTGATTGGTCCAGGGCAATCTCGCGGCCCTGACGTGATCCGAGGCACATACAGATCAAGGTGTGACTTACGCAACGGCCAGGTCATAATGGGACTGGACTTGGCTCTATCCCCCGAGCCGGATCTGGAGACGGCGCGGATGTGGACGACGTAGTGGGTGCCTGGTTCGAGACCTGTGATCTCGCGGGAGTAGGTCAATTTCCCACGGGCTTCCTCAATCTCACGTTCCGACGTCATCTGTTGGCGTATCGGTCGCTGTTGGTCTACCACTCCGAATGTCGGTCCACTCAACCAATTGCCCTGCAGACGCAAAACGTGGACGATTTGTTATTTGAACGCATGTTAGAGCAATAAAATATGGAGTTTTTTATGTCGACAGTCAGGAATCGGCAACCAATCAGGTGTTTCAAGACTTGGTGAAAAGCAGCTGATCGATCTCACCTTCTCCTAGCCTCCCGATCACAGTTTCTATCAAATGGATCAGACGTGGACAGTCGAACAGTGCAATGACTTCCGAAGACTACTTCGATTGCGTCATCTGTCGAAATGGCCTGGAAGCAATCGAGGCTTCCAGACACCACTGTTGGACGCAAAGGTAATTAGTACAACGACAATGCGTAAAGGGTTCCTACCTTCGCGTCAGTAGCTCGCAGATCGATGTCGTAATAGGCGATGCGCAGTTCGTTGCTACGATGCCCCATGTGGAGTAGAAGGGACGCAGAAATCGATTCTTTCGGTGGTGTCCAGGTAACCAGCAGGCGATCGCTGCCGGTCGCCGTCACGGTGACCAGATTCGGGGGACCAGGAACTGAATGCATAAAGTTAAACGCACATGAAGAGTGCCATGGTAACCGTGATTTCATTGGTCAGGTGGCAAGGATTGTGGACAGTATTTGTCCACCGTGCAGACAATTAGCAGCTTAGAATGTGACACATTCTCAAGTCTCACCAGAATGTGAGTTGGGGTAACGGCTGATAATTTTGATTGGCAGGGAAGTATTCGGACGTGATTAGACGTGTCGCCTCATTAACAATAAAGACAGAGGAAAATAAGTATTTGAAAGGTTGATCGAGATAGTGGTGTGCTCAACAATTCAGTGTGATTACAAATCACTCCTTCTTTAGTACTGAACGGAAGCAGCAATAATCGATTGGGCGTATGGAGGTAAGGTAAACCTCAATCGATTTCTTAGGCGACTTTCTATTTGTTCAAGTCATCAGCTACCCCAATGGCGCCAGATTTGTCGACATCGTTCATGTGCGTTGATTCTCGAGGACACTTCTCCTTTTCACTCAATCGAAGGACGTCAGAAGTCAATACAGTCCTTGATTGCACTCAAACTAGTGGTGATCCGCACGTATCTGGAGTCTAGTCCACATGCCCCCCACAAACTAAACCCTGATCCCAAGATAGTCGTACATATTTGGCAATTTTCAAGACTAGTTATTCAAAATCAAAGCAACTACCGTCGTCGTTGATGGCAGAGCGCAATAATCGTCTCAACACCTGTGTTTAGGAACATAAAATCTCTTTCGTCGACAACAGAGGTAGGTAAATCAAATCACGTTCAGTGAAAATACATAATCTAACATTCAGATTGCGTTTTAAATTCTGTCAAATGGTATCTTTGATTCTCATAGTTAGGAGTTTGGATGTTTGCTGTTAAACAACTCATGTAAGTAACTGCAATTACGGTTTACTTCTTTTAACACTGATTTCCTCCAATAGAATCTTTAATTTTTCCTCTGCAAGGCAGCGAAAGCAGAGATGATTGGCTGAGGAAAAAAACGCCTAACTTACACATCGTGTTAAACAAGTCGCACTAAGTCTGTTCCTTGTACGTCTAAAATTAACCTCAACGCCATGGATGACAGATGAGCTTTTTTTTCAATTTCTGATTACGTTAACGTGGCGAACAATAAAACGCAATGCAGCATTCTCAAACACTGCCATATGTAGTCTTGGTCGTTTGGAGCCAGACAAGCGAACAATGCTCATTACCAACAAGCCGTCTGATTGGTTCATCCAGCCTACACCATCGACGCTTGATTGTCTGGCCTCACACGACTTGCGATCAACTGAGTGAAAGAACAAGACTGTGTTGTCAACAACGACCGTCTTAAAGCCATCGGCGACGAAGGAGGAAAGGCCAGATCGATACCCGGTAATCGACCATCTGCAGCCAATCGCATCTGACCTCGATTGATTCAGGTTACAGGCGCGTTGGATACGACCTTGACCTTTGGTGGGAGTGAGTCCACCGACGCGCCAATTCAACTACGAGAAACCGACAAATTCTTGCGAAAGATGCTCATATTGTGTGTCAGCGAGAGGGTGTTTACGACCACCTGCAAGCCTGCATTTTCCCCGGGAGGATGTTGTGATGAAACAAAGTGACCACGTAAACAATGCATGTCAAGTGGGCGTGGTTTGAAAAATTTCGCACTACCAAACCACTACGCACCAGCATCCTTTGACTCTGCAAATACAAGAAACCACCTTGCAATCAGCGCTGCTGACTCAGCAAAGTATGGAGTTGGGCTGAATTGGAAAAATGCCACTAGCCTGAAACCTCACTTTGTGCAAATCTGAATGAATTCACAGCGCCCAAACAAAGCACATGATTTTGCTATTCAATTTCAAGTGAGACAGTGAAATTAGTTACAAAATGCTCAAAACACCGGAACTTGAATGCTTCACTTTTGTTGGATTAATCCGATTTAAATTTCCCTCTTCAATAAATGCAGTTATTTTAAACAAACACATATTTTGCTCAAACCCAAAGAAGGCATCGATTTGTAGAGGCAGGGATAGTTTAAAGTCCGCGTGAGAGTCAAGCAATAGCCGTCGGAATTCGGCGGGACTGCAAAATTTCATCAGTTGTAACAATTTTTTGTTATTCTTTTATTCACCCAAAGATAGCACATGCGAAACGTCGTGCTCACGGCCGAAATAGGGCGCATTCCCAGGGCGAAAAATAATTGATGTCGAATCGCGAACAAAGGTGGCGCCAAGTTCCTGAGAACGCGGGATAATTCGAATGGCCACCAGTATTTTCGGTAGATTTAAACAATTTTACAGAATTCAGACTTGTGCGGTCCGCCTTTTAGAGTGGGACAGCATTACACAACTCTGGTTTCAACAATACGCACCATATTCCTTGGTTTTGGCTGTTGTCTCTGCTTGGATACCAGCACCAGTTTCCGAGACAGCAGCCAACCGAAACTCGTACCGCGTATTGGGTAGAAGGTCGGTGACGAGGTAGCTACTGCTGCTCGGTTCGATGAAGACCTGACGCGAGGTCGAGTCGAAATTGCCTTCACCGTCCAATGGCGTCACGAGGAGCTCGTATTTGACCAATGGCGGTTGACGGTTAGGGGTTTCGGGTGTGTCCCAATGCAGCGACACCTCGTGGGCCGACTTGGACACTGATTTAAAATTCACTGGAGGTGGAAGAGCTGAAAGGAGATGCAGAATACCTACAGTATGTACATGAGTTTTTTTCTTGTCAAATGTCTGCCATTTTCAAGGACGCTGGCGTGGTGTTCTAACATTGGCCCGTGCGCTGCCAATCAAATCTCACAACCTGTTCGAATGAAATCCAATTCAAACACGCATTTGTAGTTAGCCAGAGCGGAACCACGTCTAGTTTTAAAATAACTCGATTCAATGGGTATTCACTCGACGCCGACATAGTCGCGTAAATCCTTTTCAGTCCCGAACTAAACTTGTTTCTGAATCCATTTAGGAATTAAACATGCAGCTGGCTGTTCTTAAAAGTTTCCTGTACACCGGAGACAACTCGAATTTGCCACACTTGTCAACGTCCGTGTTTTTGCCGGCAGCGATATCATCACAGTCAAGTGACATCTGGCACGTAGTGGCAAATTTGTTTACTGCGGCGGTTGGCGTCCTGAGTGCTATTCCGTATTTGGATCTCATTGCAACAGTCTGATAGGGCAATAATGTTGCACTGGTTATTGAATTAATTTACCAGCACTCAAGATCTGACCAATCACAGTCATACTTCGTTTGTCAGCCAATGATAGCTGCTGGGAAATCTGAGCTGACCATGCGATCAATGAAGATGATTGGTGAAACTACAATGCATCTGATTACCGCCAATTTTGGTGATATTAAGTCGAAGTAAATTGTGATTGGATAAGCGAATGAATTCTAACCCACGCTGAGGGTTATAAAAGTAGCACAAACGTAGTAGAAGAATCACCTCCAGGTCGGACAATGACGCGGTAGGGCGAGGAGGTGGGGCCGTCGCCCTTGATATTGGAGGCGCTCACTCGAATGTAATAGGTTGCATTCGATCGTAGGTGTGTTATCAGCGTCAGAGTGGACGTACTGCCGGCGGCATCTGATTGGCTCAGAGCGTAGTCCACTTGAACCAGTTTGATATTCCACTCAGCCAATGGCCGCTTCGGATCGTCAGTGTAGTACACGCGGTACATCTACAACACAACAGCAAAACACCACTTAACTTTAACGCACACGCCTGTGTTTACAGCGATTTATCGTCGCGAAAACCCCCGGGTTGTGAAGATTTTGTCCGATTCGCATGACAAAAGGCAATTTTTCGGGGGACCGTTTGACAAACTGTGGTTTTTTTGTGGCGCGTGTTTGAGTACGTGTGTTGTTTTTATCGTTATCTACGCCGGCAGGAAGTTGGAGGACAATGAGCGTTACCTGGTCAACTGGTGCAGACCAATAACCAAAACAGAGAACACCTTAGTGCCAAGAGAGAAGCAAGAAAAGAAAAATGCAGGCGTTCCGCTTCGTCTAACTGGGATATGAACGCTGTGTTTTCACAACGAGAACAAAGGCAACAGAAAAAACATCTGCTACGACCATGCAAACACGACATGTTGAACTTTACGTCTGGTAATAAGTAATAGATCTTTAGTGAATTCGGACTGGAACACGATGGCGAGACGGCTGAACCTCTCCCACCGAACATTTCACCCCGATGGAATTGTTGTGAGTCGTGTTTATTCACACCCCTTAATCCGGTCGCTCCACCCTACGACACAGGGTTCCCCCTTTCGCAGCATGTCAACAGCATGCGAATCCTCACCTCCCCCCTCATTCCCACGAGTAGTTACCTTGGATTATCCTCACACCTAGGTCTCGATGTTAGCGCATCTATGACTCACACATCTGAGGTATAAATACACACGCGCAAACGCCACACACGACACCAACGTGTTTGAGCTCTGAAGTAAACTGTTGTGTCCCCGTCCTCTCAGGTCTTTTTCCTTCATCGTAGGTATCAGGGAAGCGTAATCGGGCCAAGGTTAATTCCGTGGCCCCGGCGTGGTTCAAGACCACATGCTGGGGCCCACAACAAAATGCCTAAAATGTGATCTGGTTGGTCTTGAAGCTACTGACTCTCTAGCCCCTTTAGACAATTAAGAGCAGAAGGTAGCTCATTTTGCCACTCCAGTGGATTACTATCTTTGAATCTCGCAAAAAAAAGAGGCAGTATTCACTGTTAAAGTTGTGATCGGTGAGATTATCCATAAAGAGGTGACAAGAATTGGAAGTGTACAAACGATGACAGTGTCAATTGCTCCTCAAAATAGCGAACGGTGTAACGTCATTGGTTTACCCGCGGTGGAACAGCTTCAAACAATTGGTCACTTGACAGGCGGAAGGTCAAACCATGACGTAGGTCATGGTTGAAGGGCGAGGCACAACCGTTTACTGGGTAGCTCAACGAAGCTGTGGTGTGTCGTGTGCGTGCGTTGAAGGTAGTGAATGACTAAGACAGTCTTCTTGAACTAGCAAAAATCCAAGCATCTGAATAGCCACGCGCTCATGTCAAGCGGTGAATGAGACTACGACGACAGGGTTAAGGGACATGAATCAGCGCTAATCATTGGGGTATATTGCTGGACGTTATTCCTAGCCAATTCAGGATGTACTGGGTTGGAAAAAAACTACACACATCGTGAATTGTCACATGGACGCGTCAGAATTGGCCATATAGAGAAAAGAGTCGATTAACTCCCATCTACTGGGGTCTTGCTGTCACTTTTGTAGGATTACTAGGATGTTGTGTTGTTCGATATGCTTCCACACAACCAACCAATCAAATTTGATGTTTACTATCACCACATAATGATTCAAGATTACGAAACGTTTAGAAATGGGGGTAAATTGGTAAAGAAATTCGATATCCTGCTCCACTAAGGCGGTACATGGCCAAACCCAGCGTTGCTAACTCGTGAAAAAAAATTACTTTGACTCTGAATCATCTAAATAGCTCTGACTTCACCAATTGTTTCGAGGTCTAAACGGAAAAGCCTCCCGTGATGATGATGATGATTGTACTTTTGCTAGTTCACCGAACTCTATTGGCCCAAAAACCTCCAATCGTTAACCTTTTCTTCCGTTTCTTGCCGCAACACACACTTTAGCGCCGGTAGCGTGTTTTTTAGTAGAGAGGTGACTTGTTTATGAGGCCTAATGGCGTCTTGGGTAGTCCAGACACGTGCATTATTCAACGAGGCCAATCCTCCTCTTCTGGTGTGGGGTGCGCAGAATGTAAGTAAAGTAGATTGGCTTATCATCATCGTAGGTGTGTTTTTTTCAATCTGTGTGGCTCATTTCCCCTTAGGAGGTTGCTAGGAGTGATTTTCGGCTTAGCGGATGCAATATCAGTGGCCAAGTCCGCACCAGTAATCTTACACGAGTTATCCAATGTGTTTGAGGTCTTGCATTGGAAGGGAGAGATAAATTTGTTAGCGTGACAAATGCTACAAGCAAATGTCACCATGGAAATCACATAGCCCCTAACTGAAGGTCATCAAAATGCAGAAATTGTCTTTCTGCTAAGAACTATGCAAGGAAGAGTATCGCAAGGTCAATAACACCAAATGCTCACCGTCGGCTACTCAGAAAACGGTTACCATGCTCTTCGACAGTCGGCCAATCAGCTTCAAGGGCTAACTCCAATAACCAATCAACAATTGATTTTACCAAGATACTTAAAGTTCCTACCGTTATTGGACCGTTGGAGTGGAGAGGCTGGTCCCAGGACACGGAGACAGCGACGTTCGAGATTGCTGACGCCTGAACATTCAAAGGTGACGACGACGGAGCTACAAGCGAAAGTGGAAGCCTTCAAACCAGTTTACACACTTTCAATGACATTTTCAGGGGGGGGGGTGACTCATCCCTGGTAGTTTAATTTGTAAAATTTATTAGTAAACTAGAAGTAATGGAAGTGTACCTGCTTGGTCGGTGGTGAGATGAATGGGTTGCGTGGAAGTCGAAACGTCCCCATTTGCACCAATCGATCGACACCAAGCGGTGTAGTTGGTGTAGGGCTTCAGGCCTGTGAGTTGGCATTTAACTTCTTTGAGTCCATTCTCGATCTCGGAGACTGGAATCACTCGGAATTGCAGGCCGACCTACAGCAGGAATGATTAACCCAGTAAAATGAGGCAATGATTCTCATTGGTGGATTCCCTGACCTAAGTCAACCAATCACAGACCAGTCTCTCTCTGGGCTTCAAGAAATTTTGCCCACGAAGTCGTCTCTTTTGTGCTTTGGAGGTCCTGATTTTCAAATGCTCGAAGTTTTAACCAGTTTGAGCCATCAAATTAGCACACCACGTTTTTTTGCGTTTATGGAAAACGTCTTCACGCCTCAACTAATCGAATTTGAGCAGTAGGAAACATCCAGGGACTTTCTTAAGATCTAACGCAAGAACGCTGCACAATTTCTTCACATCACACCGATTGCATTGCTGAAATCAAGGTCCCACGATTTGGCAACTGTTGTCTGAAAATTTGCTCCTTTTCCCCTCGTCACCACCGCCATCATCATCATCATCATCCGACAACGACGACGACTGAGGTTGAAATTCGATCTGACGTTTGGCAAAAGTAGTTTTAGTAACCACTAGAAACCATGGGAATGCCAGCTACTTTTCAGTCGGTTTGTTTACTTCTTTGGAGAAATTTGACAGTGACAATTAATTACACGCAGTCACACTTGCGCAAGTATTAGCCCAGGCCGTTTTAAGTTGGTACATTGCAATTTCACGTAAGGGAGTCTACATCAAGGCACCAACCAACCCACGTCACTTGAATCCACGGAACCGGCCGCATCACGGAATCTTATATTTCTCAGGCCGAACACTCTACACTCATACGTGCAAAAACAGGAAGACGGCAGGTCATTTGCCAAAAATTAATATTAATTGATAGTCTCGGCACTTATTGGACATGCCAGTTTCAATAAGCTGTCATTTCGCGCCACCGGGGATTTTAAACCCAACAGCAAACGAAAATAAACAAGTAGCATTTATTCTGGCCTGGGGTAATCAGTGAGTTTAGTTAAACAAATCTGTAAGTACAACAGCCACCAACCAACAGGGTTATGGCCAATTTGGTTAGATTAAAATGTGTGGGAAGATTTAAATTGCCGCGCCAGGTAATCTAATGCAGATATTTGGTGTGTGTGTGTGTGTGTGTGTGTGTGTGTGTGTGGTCAAATGGCGATGTTTGAGAGAGGAGAAAAAGTGTCATACTATGTGTTAAAAATAAAAGCACTTTTCTCGCATACAGATTCACTCTCTGAAAATATCAGACGCTGAATAATTTATAACTTAGGAAACTCATGAAAATGACATCAATTTGAGCATAAAAGTAAAAATAGGAATCCTGGTAAAACACAAAAAACAACTTTTACCAAGCAGATCGGGGAAAAATTAACGGATTTTCGTTGGATCATGCACATTTTTCACACTAGATAGCTGCTACTACAACGACGCATAACTCAGAAGTAATGAGGGTGAGGAGTTGTGAAAAGGAGAAGAAGAATAATCCTGATTTACCTGACTGAGTTCTGAATTCTTTTCGAGACCTAACGCTGGCAAATGAGGCGGAAAGAGGCTCGTGGAGATGCGTTGGATGGCGGTGGCGATTTCCGGTGACAAAGAGACAAGGTAATCGGCCAGAAAGTATCGGCTTTCGATCCACTGCACAAGGTAAGCTGAGACCTGGGGTGCAGGCCGGTGAGTTGTCGGCCGGTTGAACTCGAAGGTGACCTCGCCAGGCCGATTTTGCGGTAGAAATCGCGGTTGTTCGGGCGGTGGTGGTAGTTCTGTGAATGGGAAAAAAACGAGAACCGCCGTGATTGGAAATTTGCACAGCCCGGAGGGGGGGGGGTGTGAAATCTGGGTGTTTGGCGGAAGAACAGAGTGATTTATCGCGTGATCTCAACTAGTGAGAGCTTTGAAGTCGCAAGAGAACCGGATTTTGCATATCGCGATTGCCTACCTTTGACGACGATGGAGACAGGGTACTCCACTTGACCCATCATCGACGACGCGATGCAACTCACGTTCATCGACTGGGTGACGTTGGAGAGTGCCAGACGAGCCGTGCCCGGTGGTTGTCGGTCGAGCATGTGGCGGTAGAGTTGGTTTGGTCCCTCGAACCAAGCCACGTTCGGCACTGGCACGCCAACTGCCGTGCAGCTAAGAGCAAGCCGACTGCCTGGAGCCACTACCTGCTGCGGTGCTGGCACAGACGTGAAGTGCGGACGGAATCTTTCGGCTAGAATCGCGGACATGGTGGAAGCAAAAGAGGCAGCGCGTTAATTATTCCAACAGGCGAACTCGTCAAGTGGGTCTACGTCCGGGATGCGTGCGATTCCAAGCAGAAACCAGTGGTAAGGGTGAGTCCACAATACCGTTCCTACTTCGATATCGCGGTTTCAAACCAGACGGGTGAAGAAATTGGCTCGTGTGAAGCATGCAAGCTATTGCGCCAAGAGTCCAGTCCTTATCGAGAGCAAAGGCAAGCTAGCAAGCCGCACAACCACGTGCAAAATGAAGTGGGAACAAACCAGCCTCGATTGTACCCCAACCAGGAGTTGAATTAAAAGCACAAAGAAACCTACTTTTGAG